AGAAACTTGCCTACTCAGATCAGTCTCAGTTGTGCTGCAATATTTGGATGGTATGGTGAGGATTTTAAGCAATATTAAAGCTTGTATCCTGCCTTGTCTCAACAGTTCAGCCAGCTACTGCCAGTAATGGCGTGTGGGTATATTTTCTTGGCATATTTTGGGTTCTTTTAGTACCAGCTGAGCACAAGCATTTTTTAAATATCTCAGCCTACCTAACCGTGCCCATCCCTTTTTAACCACAGTGTGCCCATCTTTTAATACATACTTTCAGCAGGCTAATGTGCCATGTATTGGACTAAAAACTGGTTATGCCTAATGTATGAAATACAATAAGAGTAGCATATACCAGTAGCATGTGTACGGTATGGAATAAGCGTGTGTTTAAGCGCCTCGTTGCTAAACGGCAGCTATTTCCTAATGAGATGTAAATGACTGTAGGAGGTGGTCCCCCACTCACTCAGTGGGACGCCTTTCCACTTTTGAAGTCCTGATTTTGGGGGTCTAGGCGTTGTCATAGTGATGCTCCCACTGACGGTCCCTGATGGTCTCTAGAGAATTGGCTTCGGTTGGAGTATTGACAGGCATGTGGCAGCCTTGGTTTATTTCTTCTCTTTTCCTCTCCTCCCCTCACTCTCACATCATCCTCCCTTAAGCTTTTAATATGAAAGCATGCCTGGCACACAAAAATGATTGTTGTAAGCAACAAAAAATGTCAATTCCCGTTGGCATTAGACACTTAGATTAAAAATGTGCAATGTATGCAAAGCACATTATATATAGAGGCTTTGTTTGCATGATGTGTTTTGAAGTTTATGAAGTTTGAAATGAAAGCTGGGGATATAAATACCTCACGTGAGGAAAAAGAACAGAAGAGCATTAGTATGTAGCTCCCAGTTGCACATTTCTTTCTTTCTGTGCATTCAGTGACTTTGAGTCTCCTCACAAAGGACAGTTGCGCTGCAGGAAAATGAACGTAGAGGGCATCGAGTTCAGTTTGACCACCAACAAGGTAATATGCCAGACATACCATGCTGTTCCATCTGTTCATGGTTTAGTGCGCATGGAAATTAAAGGCATGCCACCTGCTGGAATGCAATGCTCATTTGTTTATATGACACATGGATGTTACGCACAGAAATGCACATACTGTAAGAAATGGACAGAAACACACTGTGAGATGAACAAGTGGCAGACATAATCAGAGAAAGCGATAATGGGATGATTAATATTCAAGATTCAGGGACACTGTGTTACCACTACAACCCACTGACCCATCAGATCGCCCTGTCTTGTCATCATTGATCATCCTTTGCTGTCAATTGATGTGATTGTGTTGGAACGGAAGGTCTTTGCGGATGAATTCCTGACAGGCACCAGTAGCCTACAGGCCTGTGACCTTTATGCCCTCCACAAGGTCAAGAGCCTCACCCTTCCCTTCTAAAAAAAACTTTCTCGACAGCCTTCCCCCCTTCCTCCATCTTTTCTGACTTCCATCATGTGATTCACTAATCAATTAAGCTGCATTTTTGTGTGAGGTCATGCCAACGTTTCCTCCTCCTTTTTCCTCTTTAAGTGCCTGTGTTCTTTTTAAGGTATGTAATTAGCAATCTTTTATATATATTCTCTCTCTCTAAATATATATATGTATACGTATATTTATATTTATCAAACTGTTATGACAAACTGTACCTGGACCGAAAAGAAATCAGTTTAAGGTGGAAGTCATGGTAAGGCAGGTAAAAAAAAACTGATGAGACTGAAGGAAATACATTTTTAATAGCATCACGTTTTCTTTTTCTTTTCTTTATTTCAGTGTAATTTTTCAGTGTAATCTTTAGATTAGAAGAATCTTATCAATATACTTGTCCTGTATAAGATCTGGTGCTTGATTGGATGTTATTGGTATTAGTCATGGTCATGTGGCTGTTCTCAGGCGATTTAAGATGATGTTGCCTGGTGTTACCGTCATGCAATAAATAAGGAATTTGTAATTCTGCTGTGTGCAAACTATTATTTCTCTGCACCTTTCCCACAAGATGAGGAGGATGTGTGAGGATTGTTTTTTGTTCATTTATTGAATATGCAGAGTATGCATGTCCAGCAAATGGTAAATGGACTGATCCTCATATAGCACTTTTTTACTCTCCCGGAGCACTCAAAGCGCTTTATACAACATGCCACATTCACACAAGCACTTCTATGCTTTCTAACTAACATTCAGACTCCAATGGATGCATCGGAGAGCAACTTGGGGTTATTATCTTCCCCAAGGATATTCAGCATGCAGACTGGGGGAGGCAGGGATAAAACCACCAACTTTCAACCAGAAGATGACCTGCTCTACCTCCTGAGCTGCAGAAGGAGTTGAAGAAAGAGTTGTTACAGTATATGGACAAAAGTACTGGGCCACCTATACATTGCACTTACAGGAGCTGCTCAGCCAATCGAAACATCCCAACAAACTTTTACACATTATGAGCCTTACCACTCAGTTACACTTTACAATAATACCCCTTGCAGCCGATCATCGAATATTTAGAAGAAATGACATTTCATGACTTGCTGCTGTGGTGGCATCCTATTTATAGTACCACCCGCCTGTGGCAATGGGACTGGAAACACTGGAATTTACCAATTAGCAACTGTGTCTTACAAAGAGGCTTGATGGGACTGTGCCTCTGAAACAATAATGATATGCTGTTATGTTGCAAACAAATAATATGATATTGCAATCAACTGAAGTTTTGCCAGAACTGAAGAATCACCTGGTTCCTTTGAAAAGAGATGTGATAAACTGTTGTAGCTGTATCTTATAATCGGCATCTCTGACTGTTACATTCTTGGACATTACACTTCCATCTTTTCTGACCATACAAACTCACATCCTCCAAGCAGGACCGGTGTGTGTGTCTGTATGTATGTGTGTGTCCCATAAGATTTCCACGAGGCCACCGAGGCCCATTATCTCACTTAGTAATCACTGTGCTAAATTTAACATGGGGGATAAGGGGAAATCAGGCCCAAATCAAAGGGCCTGTTATCTGCTCAGTGCTTATAGCGCAGATTATGAAACATCACGGTGATCTGATAAACATATGGGCAAAGAGCAGGGCACAAACATCTGCATGCCTGCTGGCCACACAGGAACAGGGAAGACTTTATCCCACTGCAAGCCCCCAGTGAAAAAGAGGAAGCTGGCCAAAAGGGAAGTGTAGACACAATATTAGAATGTGTATGTTTGTGTGTGTGAGAGAGCTAGTTTCTAGTAAACCTCCTGGCAATGACATGCTTGGCAAAGGGTTGAGGAAACAGTCCCTAAGTTACCTTTGGACTGATTGTGTTTGAGTTGCGGAAAGGAGGGAGGGAGTGGGTGTTTTTGGTAGATGGGTGGGTGGTGAGGACTTGGATGGAGGAGAACAGGAAGACAGATTGCCTATGGCGAGCAGGACTTCCTGTTAGATCCAGGTCAGTAAGTTGCAGCATGACACTAGGAGGGGAAATGGTCTGTAATCGCAACAATCAACGTGATTAGCGTGAGCAAGCTGCAGTGCCAGACCTCAGTCTGCCACCCAGGTTGTTGCTAGCCTGCAAGCACCCTCAGCATCGCTGCATGGGAATGGTCAGGGTGGGAATGCAGGAGACTGGATCCCTTTTCACACCTCAAAGTGTCACAATTTTATAATAATAATGGATTGCATTTATATAGCACTTTTCAAGACCCTCAAAGCACTGTACAATTCCACTGTTCATTCACACACTGGTGGAGGCAAGCTACAGTTGTAGCCACAGCTGCCCTGGGACAGACTGACAGAAGCGAGGCTGCCATATCGCGCCATCGGCCCCTCTGGCCATCACCACTAGGCAGTAGGTGAAGTGTCTTGCCCGAGGACCGAGACTGTCCAAGCAGGGGTTCGAACCGGCAACCTTCCGATTACAAGGCGAACGGCCAACTCTTGAGCCACGATCACCACAATTTTATATTTGATCCAGTTAATTTTGATATATTCCAAATGCAATTTTGCAAGCATACCTCAGCAATCTATATGGCATAGATGCATATGCTACCTCCTGTCATCATCACCCATGAGGGCTTTAGTATTCTGGTTTTATACTTCACATTAATTTGTTTAAAGATGGGACAGGTGTGTCTGCCACTGTAATGTCATATCTGCTGCAAGCTTTACAAGAAACATGTATGCGTGCGTCTTTTATCTTTTTTTTTTTTTAATCTTTCGTCCTCTTCAGTCCCCTCTCCTGTTATTTTCAAAAACACCTAAAAAGTGTTGTCATGTTGAGTATACGTCTTTGTTAGACCTTATTTCAACCTTCTTTGCAGAATGTGTTGCTGCAGCTCATAAATCTTGTAATTACTCCAAAAGCTAAAACCCTACAAAAGGTTTTCAGACTTAAAATGAACTAAAACATGCCTCATTCTGAGTGTAAAGACGCAAGAAAAAGTCTGTGGCTAAAAAGATGGAGAGATCCCTTATCCCTTAAGCCATTAGTTCAATATTTTGACCTTATTTAGAATATGAATTGTGGGAAAAAGACAACAACTTCCTCTTTTATGGGGTCAGAAAAGAAACCAGTGTTATGTCAGAAACAAACAGCTTGCCTTTGGGAAAGAAATCCCCAATAGTGTATACTAGTTGTTTTATGTTACAGCCCACTTTTGAACAACCAAGATCAGGGTTAGGCAAATATATAATGCAATCAAATGCAAGGACATGAAAGGTCAAGGTGGATAGGTAGAAAAATGTCACAAATCTCATTCCTAAAGTTACAGAGTTACTGGCCCGATGGAAAAGACTGCCACAAATCACAAAATTTAGGCCCAAGATATGAAAATAAACATAAAAAACATAAAATGAAAGCTCTTTTGTAGTTAATTAAGAGAACAAGAAAGCAGCCTTGTGCCCTGCTGCATCTAGTGAGTGCTCGTTTGTCTGTGACTTAGCATTCCCAGAGTATCCATCTCTTTGTGTCTAAACAGGCTGTCAATCACCACGCTGGCACTTCCTGTTTACCTGTCCCATTGACCTCCTCTTTGGAGAGTCACCGGTGCTGAGTGCTCCAGGCAGCCCTGAGGACATGCACTCACATGGCCAGCTTCAAAGTTAAGGCAAAGTTTACCCAGAGTTGAGCTTCCACAGGCTGCCCCGCTGTTCACTGGGGTTGTGTGCTCAGATAAGAAGGCTGCTTCCTGGTCTAAACATACACAGACAAAGAGAAAACAAAGAAGAAGGACAGGCAGAAAGAAAAAAAGAGGAGGCTTGGAGGCAAACAGCGAAGTCTTATCGCAGGTATCATTTGTTTGAAAAGTGAATCAATAATTTAGAGAGAGTGTGGATGTGTAGACGTTTGGTTTATGACGATATGTTGTCCAAGCTATCACATGAAACTTGACAGAATCAAATAGAATCGATGGGGCGTGGGGAGTTTGTAGTTTTAGGTCTTTTTCCACTACAAAAATATTTGTACACCCAAGTCATTACATTTTATTTATATAGCACCAAAACTAAACGACAGTCAGCTCAAGGCGCTTTATATTGTGAGGTAAGGACATCAGAAAATTAAAACACAGTCTTTTAGGTTTTCATTACATTTTTTGCACCGTTTTTTAATGTTGTTTGTTTTTTAAAACTCACACTTTAAATTGTACTCAGGCTTAAGGTTACAGTGAGGCCACTTTGAGTGATGGTTGTATATGAAACTGGCAGCTGTAGCTGCTAGCTAATGCTGTGCCTCACCTCAGCTAATTTTAGTCACTGAACTCCCCCTCTTGCTATGTGGTTAACTATGCTCAGCGTTTCCGAAGAGGTCTTTGTTAAGGTTTTTTGTGAGTGAAATTGAAGTATTTTTTTGTAGGTCACTTAGGAATAATTAGCATGGGTCTGTGTGGCCTGTGTATGGTCACTTCTGGCTGCAAAAATAACAAGATGTGATGGCCACAGTGCTAAACTTCAAAAAGAGGGATTCGGAAACACCATTTACCCTCCTGTTGTATTAATTACATGGCTGCAGAAGCAGTGTTTGCTGTGGCATTAAACCATACTATCACAACAGTCATCTGGCCTAAACCACCAGGAATAAAAATATTTAGGAGAAATGGCCTGTATTTATATAGCGCTTTACTAGTCCCTAAGGACCCCAAAGCGCTTTACATATCCAGTCATCCACCCATTCACACACACATTCACACACTGGTGATGGCAAGCTACATTGTAGCCACAGCCACCCTGGGGCGCACTGACAGAGGCGAGGCTGCCGGACACTGGCGCCATCGGGCCCTCTGACCACCACCAGTAGGCAAAGGGTGAAGTGTCTTGCCCAAGGACACAACGACCGAGACTGTCCAAGCCGGGGCTCGAACCGGCAACCTTCCGATTACAAGGCGAAGTCCCAACTCTTGAGCCACGATCGCCCAAGCAAATAGCATTATGTAAATGATACACAACAGCAACAAAAGATATGAAAACGGAGACGGACAAATTCGAAAAGTTCCAAATTTAAAATCTTATGAGTATTATGTAACATCATGAGGAGCTGTGTTTTATTTTGCCTGAGCCGCTCTCATGGATGAACAACATGCCACCATCATGTGGTGTTCTTCATAATTTAGCATTAATTGAGACTTAAACTACAGCAATTCAGCAGCCCAGCACGTTCCCGTCGTTAGACGCAGTGCTGACCGCACAGTGAACTAGGAATATAATGGCTGTTCTGTTCCTGCCATCTCTCAATGTAATGGTACTGTAAACTAACAACTCAAAAGCCCCTTGAGCCACATTGCCTTGCTGCCGTGGTATTTCTACAACAAATTAGAGGCAAACTTAAATATTGGGCCGCCTGTCAGCATGATGGGTGAAAGGAAAAAAGAGGCAATTAAAGGCTAATGTATTTCAATTAGTGGCTAACTTTTAAAGGAAAAGCGGACTTCCGCATGGAACAAGTCCAAACATGGGTCATCAGAGAGTGGGTTGCTTTTGGTGTTTGGGGTTTAGGGGCAGTGTAAGCATCAATAAGGCCATGTAGCTATTAGCAAATGAGAAGTAATGTCCCCTGAATGATGGTGGTAATGATGCTGTGGACAAAACATTGGATTTTGATTGGCCTCTCTCTGTGAATAGGTCCCAGTACACACAGGAAGTGCTTGTTTGTTCCAAGCAGCACTATTTCCTGTCGGACTGGCTGTGTGTGTGTGTGTGTGTGTGTGCGTGTGTGTGCGTGTGTGTGTGTGTGCGGGGGTGGGGTGGGGGGAGGGTTTCCACTGTGATAATCAGTAGAGGGATATGTGCGTGCATACACCTTACTTCTCAATTTTCCTTCTTTAGTTGGCGGTTCAAAGAGCCACTCCTCGCCAGGGCGGAAGCTCCTCTCAACCTAGAATGAGATCAGTGTGCATCCAACAAGGGACTTCCTCCCCACACAGGAAGTGGAGGTGCAGCTGAGAGGGAAAGGGCTCTTCCTCTGCCACCCCCGTTCTTCCAAGTCCTGCTCCTCCCTCGTCCTCCTCCATGATCCGTGTTTTGTCTCAGAAATAACATAAAGCATTGCTCACGCTCACTCCCTCTCCCCTTTTTCTGACCAAGCAGGAAGTGCAGCCTGTTATGTTTACATAACAGAGGTCCTCTCTCCCGCCAAAGCCACCCAATGGCCCCTGGGAAACGGGAATCCCCAGACTTCATCTGCTCACATTTGTGAAGTGGACATCCATCACAGATTGACAGAGAAATGTGTCTGCATGTGTATATGGGAGAGAGGCTTCCGGTGGGAGCAAAGAGAGAGAGAACAGAAGAGCATCTGTGCTAATGTTGATGATCCTTTCCTGAGAAGGTTTTCCTTTTACTTAAGTTGACCCCTGCTGCAATGGAAGAAGAACTGGATGTGCTCTTGTTCAAGAGCCCCCCATCATTTCCCATTGTGCCATTTGGCTTTGGCACTTATCTCTTTGCACATGATTCCAATAGTGAAGATTTGCACTCAATGTGCGCTTGAAGCTGGGAGATATGAATGCCATCGGTGATGGATAACACACTATGTCTGCCTTGTTCTGGGGGGAGATGTGCACACTCATGAGGCTCATGTGACTAGCAATGGGTCGACAGAGAGAGGGTCTATCCATCTGAGGCCCCCAGAAAACTGCCCGTTGGCCATTATGGAACAAATGAAGACTTTTGAGTGTGTGGAAGGGAAGTGGATATTTAGTTCACTGGTGGCAGGGCTAGATTAATGTGTTTCTGTCCATGGATTTAATTGTGTGTAACAAAAGTCTTGATGTGGTGTTACAATCAAATGTTCAGATCATTTTTCTTTCATTATAAATAAATTTGAAAATTTACAATTCCCTTTAAACAGAAACACCTCAGAGAAAAGTCTTAAAAATAAGAATACAGCAGAGAGAAAAAATGGCAGATGCCTTTGCAAAACTACAAACTTTCTGACTTTTCTTTTTTACGTTTTTGTGTCAACTGCAGAAACAATTGGCCTCGTAGAAGAGCAATTTTGGATCCTTGCTCAAAACAGATTTATCTTGTTTTTCAGTCTAATTATCCAGATTCTTTTAACTGTGCAAACTTGCCATAAATCATTCATTTCAGACTAATGAATCCCACCTGTTCATAAAGAGGTGAACGTTTGTGACTCTTGAGTGGTTTAGGCTAGATGAAGTTAGATGTTTTCAAGGCAGGGCAGTGTGTGCCTAATCACTGAGTATTTGGAAATAGTTCAGCTTGTTTCAGGTAATGTTACACTGTCTTCAGACAGCATGTAGACTCGGACAGCTGTTGGCGCAGCACAACCAACTGCTAGAATATAGACGCTCCTGCAGATCTATTTGTTTGCTTGAATAAAAGGATTTCCTGTTTTGCTTTGATAAATTGCTGCCAAGTAACTCTATCCCATTTGTTTTTGTTGTTTTGTGGATTCTATTCAGTGCATGTGTTCACGTACTATATCTATGCCCGTGTTTATCCACACATTTGTTTAGAGTGTGAAATGCTTCTACGCGTCCTGCTGTTGAAGAACTTGTCCTTGGCTCTGCAGATCCACTCACAGAGTGGAGAGTTTGAGTAGCTGCCATGAGGACTTATGGCCTCAGGACCTGTTGGTGGAGGTCAGAGAGTACAAGAGGCGACAGCTGTAGAAATGTTGAGAGCCCAGTGCAGCATGAATACTGCCGGTTATAGCCAGCATCGCACGCACACACGGATACATACACACCCACACACTCAACACACACAGCGATCAGATCCTTATCTAAAAGATACATTGTTTGGAAGTTGCTGGAGGACCGCCTAACAGGATATAGCCCACTGTTAGAAAGTGTGTCTGTGTTTGCGCGTGTGTTACACAGGATCATATAGGACGTGATCAAAAAAGCTGAGGCCTTTTATTGCAGTTTTCGCCAATCTGCAGCCTGTTTGAATGGATTTCCATGATTTTTGTCAGTCTTTGAACTTGTTTGAGTTGTTGATGTGGTCATTCAGTATCCAGGAGCCTCTTTTGTCTTCTATAAGTCAAACTGCTACTATCAAAACTGTAACAAATAAAACAGATATAACTACACAGAATCTTCTAAAGTTTTTGGTGCCAGCTAACCCTGCAGTGGTCGAGAGAGTCTCCATCAGATCCAGGCTCAAGAGGGGGCAGGAAACCGCCGTGGCCAGTTTGGGCTTAAGAGGAAAGAGAAGAATAAAAAGAGGAACATAGAGAGGCCACCAACAATAAAAATAGAAAAAGGAAAACTATGGGAGAAATTGTAGATAATCACCATTAATAGTGGCATGTAAAGGCATCAGTAATGAAAAGAGCTGAGTGAAGAAGTGCTCAGTCCATCACAGAAAACCCCCAGCAGCATGAGTCTATTGCAGTGCAACCAAGATTTGCTCTAGGATCAGCTGATCCCGTCCTAATGTCACCATATTCAAAACCTGCCTTTTTCAGAGAGGAACGTTTTAAGCCTAAAATTAGAGGCGGTGTCTGTCTGCTGAACCCAACTTGGAACCTGGTTCAACAGGAGAGGAACTAACAGCTGAAGACTCTGCCTCCCATTCTACTTTTAGGTAGTCTAGGAATCTCCGAGAACAAAGTGCTATATTTAGATAAAAGAGTGCTCTGATGTATTTTAGATACGATGGGGTCGCATCAGGACTCTGGACTTTGTATGTGAGGAGAAGTGTTTAAATAGGAATTTAGAATTTAAGAGACACTAAGACAAAAGGCATTTAGTACTTTTGCTGCTGCATATTACACTAACTGAAAGTATTGCATCATCATATGGACTTAAAATAGTCCAACCTGGAAGTAGCCAAATTAAATATTGTCCCTATAGAGACAAATAAACAGATTAAATAAATAAGGGGGTCTAGCATTCATATTCATGTAGTCACCTAGCAAATGAGCATTGTTTTACTAAATGATTCATATCACCGTTTCTCATTGTTGGAACCAGTCAGTGTTAAATGAAGCAGTAATGAGCAATCAGCAAGTTAATACATTAAACACAGCAAGCAAGATAATCAAACTGTTAATGGAGACTTCAAACGCCATAATTACCTTTCAATTTCTGAAAGTGTTCTTTTTTAAAAACAGCTGCTGGAAGCAGCACATTTAGGTTAGCGTTTAGAGTATCGCTTGTTTGAAGCTAATATGAACGGTTGCTTAATTTCTAGAAATTTCTGAATGTAGTGGGATAAAACTGTAAGGGACCTTTCCTCATTGAAGACCAGAAGGTTTTCAACATTTGGCTATATGTTATAGAGTTATTTAGTGTCATTTTTGTAACTTAACTATGACATGGTCATGTGAGCTTCAGATACAGATGTACCTGCCAATCTGCTGATATCAAGACAGCTATTGTTAAAAAATAAAATAAAATAAAAATTGTATTGATATGTTGTGAATTTGAATCTTTTGTCACCAAATTGCTATCCAGTAATTTATCCAGTAATTAATTGTTTCAATTTACTGAAAGGCCATTTTGGCCCCTTACATGCAAGGCCCTCTTCTCTCCAGCGGGGAGTTGGATTGCTGACCTGGATGCCCAGAAAGAGGTGTTGCAGCTGGAGCTTTACTCTAGAGAAGATGCTGGTGCTGGTGGGAGCAGCTGTTGTGTGTTAGACTGTCAACACAGTAATGAAAAGGGAGGGGTGGAGGGTGTGTGTGTGTGTGTGTGTGTGTGTGTGTGTGGGGGGGTTAAATCAGGCACAAGGAGTTTTGGTTGAAGTTTGTTCTCATTTTACATTAGTATCTGCTTTGCTTTACTTAAGAACGTTTGATTACGAGTAACATTAATCCGGCAGAAAAATAATGCCAGACACCCCCAGAGCAGTTTGAGGGGATTGTGTTTGCATAACAATCTTAGCCACATTTTCTGAGGTTTTTCCGTGTTGAACATCTTACGCCCCAGCCAAGCCCACCGGCATGTCAGAACACTGAAGTCCACTTCAAGCCCTTCTTCGCCATCATCGTCAGGGTCTTGGATCACTGAACCGCCCCTGTTCCTGTTCTCATGGGAACTTCCCCTCCCTTCAATGAGCTGCCTGGTTCACCTCTCAGCACTGCCTGCTCTAGGGTTAACTCCACAGGTCAAAGGTCACAGGATCACAGGCTCCACAATGCCTCAGATTGTTGATTGTTGATCCTAATGCTGGTGCTGTGAGGAGGGGTAGGATTGTGCGTGTGTGTGTGCAAGTTTGCGTTTGTTTGATTGTGTGTATATGTTTCTATTTGTGCATGTGACACAAGTGCCTCTGTGCATGCGTGTGTGAGCGTGTTAGTTTTTGTGTGTGCATCCGCCGATGTTTGCATGTGTGCAAAAAAGGAGAAACCTGATTGGCTGGACCACCGTAGCAGATGAAACTTGATGGACTGCAGGCTCCCTAAGCTCCTGTTGATGGGGATTTGGAGGCCTGTCTTTGAGGGGGGAAATTCAATTTCCTCCCCCTGCTCACCAGAACTGTTTGGATAGCTTGGCCTGGGATTGGAGAGGGTGTGTGACACTCCAGATTACCCACTCACTGAGAGGCAGCCGGGAAGGTGGTGTCTGATCTGCAGCATGGCATGACTCAACGCAAGAGGAATGTGGCACAACAGAGAGCTGTCAATCTGTCAGTGTTTTTAGTTTTATTTATTTCATCTGTTTCTAAGTGCGCTACAACACATCCTAAGAATTTTCATGTGAATATAAATGCTTTATTTAACAGTGGATCCCATGAGTGCAATCTGTATTCAAATTAATCCATTATTGACATCTGCTTTATTGATTGAGCATGATCAATAGTTTTGTTGAAAATAGTTTTGTTAAGAACAGTTTAGTGATAAGTCCCACAGATTAATTATTCTTTCTTCTAGATTGCTACTAACAAAATTGTAAGATATGAACAGGATATAGCTACACAGTTACTGCAACTTTCTACAATTTTTGCATCAGTCAGCTCAAAAAATAGTTCTTTTTTTGTTTTTTACAGAGGATCCCCATGAACATGCATTTGGCAGGGGTGGAACAGATCTCCAGCAGAACCAAGCTCAAGATGGGCAGGACGCAGGAAGAAAATAGAAGAAAGAAAAGAAGAATATAGAGAGGCTACTTAAAATGAAAAGAGAAAATCACAAACTATAGGAGAACAGAGACAGTTTATATTAAGTGATATATTTAGTAGTGTACATACCTCAGACTTAAAGAAAAACTCTAAAGTATTTGTATGCACTTGCTTTGGTTCTTGTTTTGTTACTTTCTGCTATCCTGTAAGTTCTCTAATAATGCCACACAAAACGTACCTCGAATACAGCCATGCAAAAAAGAAGGTTTTCACAAGACACCCTTACTGCTTCCATAAGAATTTAGAGGGTAAGTAGCAGACAGGTGCTTTTACTCAAATGCACCTGATTAAGTGATCATCAGCGAGTATGACCACCTTTGCAAAAGCGTAACTTTTGACTGTTTGCTGGTCTAAAGCATCGAGGTGTGTGTTAACAAAATGCTACAATCTTCCCAGGAGCAGATACTTCATCTGATTCAACCCCCAACTGTGCAATGCTCGGAGAAATTGCAAAAAGTCCAAGACCTACATCTCATACTCTAAAGGCCTTAGCTAGCATTTAAAATGTGGTTTGTTTGGAAGCATTTGCATCCCTCTAAAAATGCAGCTTAGGTTTGAAAGGTTGGAGCTGAACAAACCTCAAGAGTTCAGGAACAATGTCAAGACCAAAGTGGAGATATCAACACAAAAACCTCGCAACAACCGCCAAGCGCGGTGGTGGAGAGGTGATGATTGCGGCTTGTTTTGCAGCCTAAGTCTAGACTTCAGTCTCACTAAAATGCGGTTGGCCCTTAGCACTTTCCCCCATAAAAACAACACTTGATCACCTCCCCTGTACCCTTTATGACAAGCTCTGACTCCTCTATATATATCAGTAAAGACATGCTTGGATGACCATTAGAATAAATAGAAGGGTTTTTCCAAGGGTAGCCAACTTCCATATTTGCAACAGACTACTTCCTGTGACAATGATGACAGCAGCAGAGAACATTTCCCTAGTTTCAGTAAGATTATTTCAGCAGTTCAGAGACGTTTGATGAAAAATGACGCTAAAAGAGTGTCCAGTGCAATTTATTGGTCCTAACCTGTCTGTGTGTGACGAGACGAGAGTGAGAGCAGGCTGTCATTGCAAGCATGAGGTAACGGCTGTCTTCATGCAGCTAAACCTTTTTTCATTCTTGCTGGTGTTCTGTGCAGGATAACTTATATAGGCTTCTTTTTTGCTTCTTCCACATCCCCATCGCTTCACAAAATTATTGTTGGAAAATGATTGCATTTTATATAATTGAACAGCTGGGTATAGTAATGCACTGACAAAGCTGTGCTAAATAACCAAACTTTAAATCATGTATTCCCACTTGGTGCAGCTAAAGGAATTTTCTTTAACTGGTCATACTGGACATCTAGTGAGCCTTTTGACTGATAACATGATTTCTATACTGCACCGAGGGACTGCACGGACTATGCATACAAACACACAAAAGAGCATAAATACAAACCTATTGGGGATTATGTTCCACCTCATAAGGAATGTCAATTACCTCAGCTTTGTGTTGACTGTTGCTGTTTGTTTGCCCCCGCCCGAAAGCTGTGATAGAAATCAAGAAGGTGGTGTTGTGCCGATGACACTTGAGCCGTTTGCCTCCTCATTACCTCCGGCCGTCCCTCTCTCACCTAGCCGTAAAATGGAGGAATGTCTTTAAAGTCTCATCCAGTTTTACTGGAGTGCTGACCATTTCATCACATGCAGATGTTGCCATATGTGTTGTTTGCACACAGATGTTTGTGTGTGTGTGTGTGTGTTCCGTGAGGTAGAGAGACCGAAAGGCTTATATGCACTTCATGGGTCATAGCATGTTACCACTCTTGGAAAACCCTTTTGTTGGATAAGTGTGTTTTGCTTGAAGTCTCAATTTATTGCCAGAACAAGAGGGAAGAGTAAAGAACAGGAAGAATAAAAATAAATAAATGGTGGGTTATATTTCAAAACATGCAAAGTCATTAAAAAAAAGTCATGGTGAGGAG